CATTGGTTTGGGAATAGGATATACATGTGCAATTTTCCATTCACTAGGAGTATCACCAATATCGAAGCACATGCAAATTAATTGCCATACTAGGTGTTTGAACTTATCTCCTAAGTGTTGAAACATTTCGTTGTGGATACCTAAAGGTCCAGCAGCTTTATCTTTAGCTAACTGTATAAGAACTGAGCACTATTCATTATAAGTTAAAGGTTGCATAAGATTATTATATATATTATTAGATACATATTCTTTTGGTTGGTATTGTAAGATCCATCTTCCATCTAGAGATTTTGGAGGTATCGATGGTAATGCATTATTTTGAAAATGGTTGATTGCAACTTTTCTGATTTCATTAGGATTTAGAGTGAAGTGTTTAGAGCCATTATTATGATTGATAAAGACTCAATCCAAAGTAATTTTTCTCTTTTTCCTTTGTAGAATAGAATCTATCATCCTGCCAGGTTGAGATTCTAGTTGATCACATCTTTTACCAATAAGAGATTTAATTTGTGCATCAGTGTTTTTCTTGGCATCTAATTTGGTGAGTTTATATAAGACTTTATAGATGCAGTTGAGAGTTTTTTAACCTCTCTAACATTTGATAAGTTTAAAAATTGTGGCAGAGGATCTACAGGATATGAAATGTCTTTGCCAATTTTTTCAATAATATTTAGATCATGTTTTCATTCTTCGCCTATAGGCCAAAGCTGCTCTTTTAGCCTTTTAGACCGAAATTTTAAAAGGATCTTTTCGATCTTGATGAGAGATGGGTAGTACTGAGAAAGATCTTTTGGTTTTGGTGCACAGTCTTGTGTAAAGATCCATTTGTGAGGAATTTTAGATTTACTAATATCTAGAACTGCTTTTTTCAATTTCATCTAGAGATTATTCATATTTGCATGATTGGATGAGAGATCTTTTAAGCGATCAAAATTGTGGTTATTGTAATAAGTATTAGAATAATCAGCAAAACTAGTCCATTTTGAAGAATCCATAGATTTGAGAAGAGGGACTTTTCTTTTAGTATCATTAATTCTTGAACGAGATTGAGATTCATGTTGATTATTAGAAAAATAGGCAATGACAATCTCGTGATCTGATTTGTATAAGTACAAATGAATTATGTTACAATAAAGGAAATCAGAAATAAGATTCTGAGAAGCAAAAATAGCATCAATACGACTGGAAGTATTTGATCTTATGAATGTGGGTGAGGGTATATCATGACAAATGTCATATAAGTCTAAGAAGTTCCTAAGAGCGAGACTATGTACAAGATCATACTTCTATGGAATGGTTTTACCAGAATCAATGAGGCGTTGTAATTTGATTAGATCTGCATTAAAATCACCTATGATGATAATGTGGAAACCAGACTGAAGACTGTTATCGATAAGTCGTAGTAATATTGTATAGAGGACTTTCCTTTCTTTAGATTCAGTGACATGAATATAAACTGAGAAAACTCTTAGTTTTATATTTCCTTTTAAGTAGAGATCAACATAAATATAACAATCATTATCTAAGAATTTTTTAGCAATATGTTTAGACCAAGATTTGCTGATGAGTAAACCAACACCCGAGTATTTATTAGAGACAGAACTCCACAAAGTATTGAAAAATGGATCAGAAGAACATCTAAAAGATTGAGAAGATTGATGCCAGGTTTCTGATAAAGCAACAAAGTTAACGTTCTTTTAGTGAAAAGTATCAAGTATCTTGCTATTTTTAACATCATCACGAAGAGAATGTACATTATGAGTAGCAAAAGTGAGGGTGTTTCTATTCAAAATTAACTCTCTATCATCACTATGTGAATTTTCTAAGTCATTGTCTATAATAAGGATGAGTTGGTCATGTGATGAAAGTAAATTATGAGGAAGGGGAACATTATTATTGGTAGGAAGAAATAGATTATTATTGTTAATTAAATTTGTGGGGACATTTTAGGTAACAGAGTATTATCAGTTGTATTAATTATTGAAAGAATGTAAAAAATGAGTGTATCTAATTTTGAGACAGGCTAGCTTTCATTGCGAATTGTTCAATTTGTTTGAACATTCTGTCCATCTGTCTTTTTTGTTCAGCAATAATAGCAGCTTTTTCATTCACTGATCAGGTTTTAGGGTCAAAATTGGTGAGGATGAAGAATCATCACTTGAGGATCCAGCAATGCGAAATCTTTTATTAGATATATCTTATGATTTAGGTGAAGTTTGAGAAACGTGGGAAACAATTAATGGATCTTTTCCTTTACTAACAATAGGTGTAGGAATTACTGTAAACGTAATTGTAGAGGAAGCCTGAAGAGATTCCAGTTTGGCGATTCTAACGTCCAATTCAGTCATATCCTTTTTCATATTAAAGAGAATTGAGAGGATCTGATCCAATTTATTATTGATTTCATTATTCAGATTGTGAATAGAATCCTTTACAGTTAATGTGATAACTTCTTTTTGTGGTGAAGGTGAAGGAGTGTTCTTATTTTTGGTGGTCTCAGAATAGGATTTGGAAGAACAGTTGGATCAATTGGAATTAACAAATTTTCTAAAGCCAGCAGGTTTATATTTATTGTAGAGTCTTTGCATAGAATTGTTTTGAGTGGGTGTCTTCAGTTTAATAGATTCTTTATTGTCATTAGGTGTAACTGATTTTTGTAAAAAGGGGCATTTCATAATCAGATGAGCTGGATTGTCACATTTGTGATAGCTTCTAGAATCAGGAGAACACCACATCAGTTGATTGTTACCAAAAGCAAAATTTTGTTGAGTTGCATAATTGAGAGCTTCTTCATTTTCAAAATGTAAAATAACAAAAGGATGAGGCTTATAATTGTTGGATTTAGAAATATAGCTAGCTCTAGCTTTAGTAGCAAGAATTATATCATGAAGATCTCTTGCAGAGGTACCAAAAGGAAGATTTGTCAATTTGATACAGTGGGTATTCCTATATTTAATTTCTTCTGAAAACAAAGTGCAAGGATTGATACGGACAGAATCATTCTAGACAAAATGACTCTACACTTGATAAAATAGTTCAATACATTTAGGGTTTTCATAAGTAATGTAGACATGTTGCCACATACCTCTTACTGTCATTTTAAAGTCAGTAACAGTTCCATATTTAGCGAAAACTTGTTTGATATTGGCAGGCTTCATTTGTAAAGGAATATCATTGACATGAATAGTTCTTTCGTTAAATTGCATATCAGCTTTGTATTGGGAGAAATCACAGAAAGTGTTGATCTTGAGATTAGGAATAATCACATGTAAGACTGTGATAGCTGCGTCTGACGTCGCTAAATAGACAATTACAGAACGCGTCAATTTATGTGATGAACTAAAACTTCTCGAAAATCGTCATTTTGAGCAAAGACATTATTGATAGTGAGAATAATTTTGTTGTTGTTCATTTCTTTGGGTGTAAACTTGATATGACTAGCAACTGCAAAGGGAGTAGCTTTTGTAACAACTGTGAAATCTTTTAGGTCTTCTTCCATATCATCGTTTTCGAGATATTCGTCAGGGTCCAAAAGTTTTGACCTATCTTTAGTTGAAGGGAAGCTTTTAGGAATATCATTAACTTTCGTATTATTATTGTTATTGTTGTTTAAAGGTGGATTAACTGGTAGAAATTATTAGGGGTGGCAATATTGGATATGTCAAAAACTTCAAACTCCATTGTTTTTTCTGGTAAAGAGCCAAAAACTTCTTGAACAATTTCTAAATCAAGGTTGGTGGGAACAGAAGTTGAGGTTGTAGAAGACGAAGGAGCTGTTGTAGAACTAACAGCTTCCTTTGGAGCTTTTGCAGCGACGTATAGAACGAACTTAGGGTCACTATATTTTTGTTTTGCAGTGTTTTTACACGTCATAACTCTCTCGCGTAGCGAAGAAGGTGGGATAAAACAAAAGAAACCTTCTTTATACTGGGTTTATTAATTAATTTTTTGTTAAAAATGAACTTTTAAAATTTTTATTTTTCTTATGAAAATTTGGTTTTGTAAAATAGGGGAGAGAGTTTTTTATTATAAACAATTTAATATGATGTAGTAGTATAGATAATGCAGATAATTGATGAATTTAATAAATTTAACATATCTGATATATTTGATATGTACATATAAATCTGAAAAGTAGTGATACCTGCTTAAACTCTTTTTTAAAAATTGTAGTTTTGTCAAAAGGTTTCATCTCTTTAATATTTTTATATGAATAAATATAAAATTATTATATTTTTTAATGTATTTTAATTCAAGGAATTTAGATCAAGTTAAATATAATTTTGACAATTAAGTAAAATAATTTTATCATTAATAAAAAACTAGTTTTACCATTTTAGTTTTGTCAATTTTGTCATATTAAGAAAGGTAATTTCGTCAGATATTATTATTAAAAAGTATAAAATACTGATAGATTAGTATTTTTAAAGTTTATTTTTTACATTGTTTAAGATTCTGAAAGTCAAAATCTTAAAAGATTATAATTCTAAAGATCTTATATTCTGAATGATTCAAAATTCTGAAAGTCTTATATCCTGATTTATTATTATATATTTAGAATTTAAATAAATAAAGTTATTTTATAATATAATAATTATTATAATATTATAAAAAATAAAAATTAATAATATTATCATAATAATATAAACAGTTTTATTATTTTTTTTCTTAATAAAATATTAGCTTAAACATTCTTATTTATAATATATTTTCACTTTTTAAATTAATATAATCAATTAAAACTTTCTTCTATTTCTTTCGTTATTCTCTATAGAGAAGGTATTTAATTTGAAACTCAACTTGCTATTGTTCTTTTTGTATCTTATTAATAATAATAAAAAGTTTTACATATGATTTACCAACTAGAGTTTTCTAATAATAATGCTATACCTTCTATACCTTGACAATATTTTGAGTTCTCAGAACTTCAAATTAAATAGAGTTGTATACTGACTATAATTGTAGTAGATAAAAAAATGTAAAATGAATTCTATAACTATTTCGCATTTTTTATCAAAATTTTCTATGAATGTAATTGTCTTCAAACTACTATACTAGATTATTTGCTTTTAAAGGCATTTCTTATTTTAAAATATTAAATACTACAAAGATCTTATATAGTGATAAAAAGTCTAGTACTATTATAAGATTATTATAGCAAAAAAAATGTGATATAGCAAATGATTAATATATAGGTTATAAGCTAATTAAAATTAGATTACAAAATATAATAAATCATATGACTTATGAATTTTAATAGCAAACCTTTTATATTTTACAAAATTGATTTACTAGAAGATCTACAAAAACGATTTATAGAATTGATCTACTAGATGATCTGCAGAGAATTTATATATGTATTGTTAGAAATGTTAAACTTGTTAAAAAAATGTTACATAACTTATATATTTGATATACAGTATCTAATATAGCTAATATTTTTAACATTTTTGATATGTCAGACATAATTAACATAGTAAATATATTTAATATAACTTATTTAATTTATTAGACATGTATAACATATTAGTTTTATTTTTCTATGTAAATTATTTTATATAAATAGGATATTTTGTAAATATTGAAATAATAGGAAATTAGATTTCTTCTAGTTTATACAAACATTTTTATTTTTCCTTACTTAATAAATATATTTATCTTAATAAAGTAATTTTTTACTTTAAAAATATACATATTATTATTATTATTTTAATGAATCCAGTAAGCTATCAATAAATTATAATCACTTATATACCTTATCTACTATTATAATTCACAAGGATTGCATATTAACAATACAAATAAATATTATACCATAATATTAAAATGCTCATTATTTTTATATTGAACTATTAGTTCATAATTTTGTATTTGTCACTCCTATTTTGACCAAGATGAAAAATAAACCCTTTATTATTAGTATTAAGGAATTTACAATATGATATATGAATTGCTACTAATTCAAAATTAGTTATAATATTTAATAACTTTAATTAAATATTATTTTTTCAGCAAACTCAATTAAAATCTTAAATAACTATCTATATTACTTCTTAGATTTATGAGTCATTAAAATATATACTAGTAGAAAAATTCTGAAATTCTTTTTAGCATTAATAGTTGCATTAATTGTATACATATGATAAAAAATTATAGGAACTTTTTTAAATGTATTTATTATCTATAATTCAAAATAACACACATAAGTATCAAATGTTTTTTTTCTATTATAGTAAATATAAGTATTCATTCTTAACTAACTATATAATCTTTAACTAGAAAAAGATTACTATTCAAAATAAAACAAAGGATTATGATATGTTAATCTTAGTAATATTTTGTGATTAGAGTAGCATTTTCAATCTTCTAATTATTTTATAAAGAACGTTAACTAATAGAATATAAAATAAATTTTTCTGATATACTAATAACATTATCTTGAATTATTTTTGTAGGTTTATCTCTTATTTTAAGGTTTGACATTTTATTTAAGTAATTTTCACAAATTTAGCATTACTTGCTTGAGATCTATAGTTATAGTTAATACTATTTCAAAGGTAATAGTAGGGCAAATATAGAGTTTCTGTGACAGATTTCAAAATAGTATTCAAAAAAGATTCCTGACCGCCCGCGAACCCATTTTAGTTATATGAATAAATTATCAAATTCAAACTTCTAGCGCATTTTGACTCAATTCTAGATGATGTTATCGAACTTAACTAAAAATTAGCCTGTCTGATACCAAGAATTACAATGTTTGATTTAACCATTCTAGCCTGATTTTAATCCCAAATAATATTT